AACTAACATTCAACACTACCAACTTACAATTTACATACTAAAAGCTAACTGCATTACAACTTACAGTAAAGAAAGATGCTGATTCGAGAGTCCAAGTGAGGAGCACACAAACAAAACTTAACAAATACAAACACAAACAAAATAAGTGAGAAGTAGTTTTCTCTCAGACACTAAAACAGAATTTATTTCTATTGATATCATATTGTCTAAATCACAAAGTTATGCAAACGGAAATACGTTTGAACCAATCAGGACCTCTTATTTCAGTCACTTAAGATCTCTTTTGTCAGCTGTTAACAATTACAGTCAATCGCAAAATATTTTATGGTTGTAGAAAGTTTTGTTGTATTTGAGTGAACTAGTAATTTAGGTTTTACAGTATGGAAAATGATGACGGTATAGCCATAGTACATCAGTGTGCTGTAACGTGTCAGTGTAAAGTTTTGTCCTCTAGATGCTCTGTATATTCGTGAAGTGTCGAAAGATAAGATAAAATTTCTTAAGATAACAAAGTTGCTGGATGGACACATGTTGTAAACATCAAGCAGAGAAGACGATGTTATCTACAAGAGGTTAGGAATGCTAAATCTCCCAAATTTCAGGCTAACTGTTTATGTGTGCAAAAAGTGTTTCATGTACTTGACTAGTTAGAAAAATAACCGGATGAATAGTATGTGCAAACGTATGAAATCTGTAAAGGTTATAAAACAAAGAAGTAATCAATAAGTAACAATTAAGTAATCAAGACAATAAGTAATCAGTAACAATTCAGCAAATAAGAGAAAAAAGCAAGCGAACTCATTGGGAATCTAAAAGGTATTTTCACTGATAAATGCAATTTCTGGAAATCAGGAAGAATCTTAAACGGAAAGGGACATCGGGTAATACCTCATTTTAAAGATCGTTTCTCATCATCTTTTCCATAAAATTCCAGTTTTCTAGAAATTGATGTATTAACCTTTTTGTTGGAATGAACACCCTGCAATCTACAATACATCGTTCACTAACATATGGCGTATATGTCTCACTGAAAACATGAAAAGAAGGCAAGAAAATCATAAGGTCTTAAAAATATAAAGTTTAAAAAATATATAGTTCTACAACATTTTCACAAAAAAATAGAAAGGAAGAAAATAGTAAGAAATTTGTAACTGCAACTACAGTGGTCGGCATGTTTAACCTCTAGTCCTCATTGCAGACTCGGAGAGGAAATTGCAACAGACTATGATAGGGGCATGGCGTTGAACAAGGTGAGGAGACAAGTTATGGTGGTGACATCCACATCGAATGTAATGATCAACTTCTCACTCAGGTCAGTAACTATCAACATCTGGATATGACAAACCCCACCAGAGGGGCACGCTTACTGAAAAGATCGTTTACAGAGTGGATAAAGCTACCAAAGCTTACTATGCCCTGAGTCGGTGTGTGACAGTGACACAGATTATGTTCAGCAGAGGGAAGACTATGCAGCAGCTCAATGGTCTTGCTGGAGAGAGGAAAAACTTCAGATGATAGATCCGAGACCATCCCCATTATTATTCAACAAAATTTTGTATACAAGATAAAGCCATGTTAGCCCCCTACTGTGCTAAAAATGGGAAGATCGTTTCCTTGCTATCAATTATTCAAGAACTAAGTCAAAAGGGTTACAAAATGCGAGAATTTGAGAAGCTTCGTGGTTAAAACGGAATCTTTAAACGAGATAGATATTGGATATGCACAAGGCATGAACCACATAATTCGTTTTCTTCTGCACCATCCCAAACATTGTTGGAAAGCTCTGGGTGTTTGGTTGCTACTTTCGGAGGATTTGCATTCACCCATACGTGCTTCATATCAATAATCCTCATATATCTGCATATAGCTGCATATCAATAATCCTCATATAATGACCTCGTCATCAGAAAATAAAATCATTTTAGGAAAATGGAGCAAGACCATATTTCCATTTTGCTAGTAAATTAATGGCAGTAGTACATTGGTAGGTTACTACAAATCTCTACAGCTAATTCTTAAACGCAGCTTTTAACGCTCTCATTGCAACAAGAAACATAAATTTCACATACAATATTTTAAATAAAAAAGGGTGTTACTTTTTTATGAAAACATGTCATCCAGGAGATCTCATTGAATCTTAGTACCTTCCTAATAAAAAGTTGTTAAGTTCAGTTTTGCTATAAAAACACAAAAAGATCATCAGTAATATAAATCAGTAATTAAATTCAGCCCTCATCCCTTCACACACGCTGCGTTCCTGGTGTCCTGGTGATATTGCCAAAACATTTTTAATGCGTTTTATTTAACGTATCAAATTTCATTGTTTAAAGTGAAACAGTTGTATACAACACTTTTTGTTAAATGGTATCTAAAAGACCTTCTCTACATAGACACATTCCTTTTATTTTTTTGATGCAGAATCTAGCCAGTAAGGTTGAAACAGATTGTACACAAATCTTAGGTAATTTTTACCGATTTTCAAACTGTTGTAAATAAACAAATTCAAGAAAGAAATGCCAGCTGAAGTTCACGAAGTTACACAGCTTTATAGACGTGTAATTAATAAGTAGTAATATCATTTAATAAGTAGGTTTTAGGTGAAGTCTGTAATGAAGTGCTACAACTAGTCTGCAGAATTTGCGAATCTAAGCTTTATTTAAGCATCTCTTTTAATAAAACTATTATTGTTTATTTTTAACAAAGTTTTATCTGACAATAAATTACTAATTATTAAGGTTATTCAATGTAGTTTAGACTATGTTTAGTAGTTTAGACAATGTTTCGAAGTGAAATTCCAACTTAGCGTATTTAACCACTCATTAGTATTTAGCGATTTTGCATACAAAGAACGTTCGAGCAGCTCATCATAAGAAAAGTGTTGACAAATGTATTTGAGTTTCTCTAAAACTTGCAAAATTCAACGATGGACTTGATGAAAAAACAATTAAATGTGGCGGCGCATTCAGTTTTACGTCACTTACACCAACTGTCTTGTGACAGTCTTCTGGATAGTTTTGATGTTGTGGCTGATCTGCGAAACTTTTATGATAGTACTCTGTCCAAATTTCTTTGTTCATATCTTTCACAGATTCGGAATGTCATCGGATAGCCAAGCCTATAAAATCCATAAAATATTATGTTTTGTAAGTTCATACAAAAATTTTGTTATGAAAATCAACAATATATCGTTACTTGAGAATTATTTTGAACTAAGTCTCTTATGTCTACAACGCAGTAATTTGGAATTAAAACTAAGCGGATCGTTTTTCCTTCGTGGCTATGACTAGGTTATGTCTAATTATGTTAAGATATTATAAAGCTGGTAAAGTTGGTAACTAGAATCCAGTATCTAGTCCAGTAATGGCACTAGACTAAAAATTTCGATAAAACGAATTTTTTTTCTAGAAGCATCTACTTCTTAGACGTTATTATCCGACGATCTATTTGTGGATGATTTTTGATGAAATACTGCAGTCCTAGAGACATGCTATTCCTTTCCTGGGGAATATAGGAATCACAGCACACGACCAGCTTTGTTAATTTCGGAAAATCTGTAACAATTTGGTCGAAAATTTTCAATAGACTTCTGTAAATGTGATTTCTAGCTCTTCCGGATATCATTTCATGCTAAACAGCGCAATATATGTTTTTATTTTTGGAGCAATGTACAGTTAAATTATAAATACTGAATCTATGTTTGTAGTAAAAATTTGATACGTTCGCTTTTGGCAGTGTACACACGTTTTGTAAGTCAAACGATATGATAGCGGGGTCTTTTTTCTTGACATGGTTTTCAAATCCTTCACGTTTTTCATCTGTTGCATTGGTAGTTTTCCATATCTGCACAAAAATCACACCTTTTTGGGGTTTGAAAAATGAAATATTAAAATTTATGTTAAATACATAATGTTTATCGAACATTCATTTTGAGAACAGTATCTTGATTTTTCCTTATACAGTACAAACTTTTTTTTAGAGTTAGATCCAGTTCCAGTTTTTTTTTGTTTGTGCTCGACACTCAAGACTTTCTACCCGGAGAAATAACTTAATGTGTTCTTTTACTTGATCAATTTCGTCAGCATTGGTTACTCTCTTCACATGTTTTCCATATGCATATTTTGATGTGCCGGAGAGTTGCTGACAAGATCATGAAAGTTAAAAATTTCATTTTTTCCGTCTACATCGTTTAGATCTTCAAGTAATCTGTTCAAAAATAGGTCATGTACAAATAATACTCTTAAGTACCACTTGTACTTACGTTAAAGGTGATATCCATTATTGACTGGTTATTACACATTTTTCATTAAATATCACTAAAACGCAATCATTAGCTAATACTAACAGGAGAGCTCAGTAACTGATTGAAATTCTATTCTTTTGACCCAAGTCCTATGTCATATGGTTGTAAGCTGTGTTATCATTGGCACACGAATTTTCAACCTTAAACCATTTAGGGGAAGCTATTTTAATTACTTTTTTGTAAGCCTGATTGAAGGCTTACTTCTTCAATTTACTTCAATTTTATTATACCTTAGGGCCATCTGCCATTCTGAAAATATGGTCATAAAATTTGTATATTTCATTAAAATGCAAAATGAGGATAATTCGATACAGTGTTTTAAAGTAAATTTAATATGAATTAATTTCGATCAAAATTATTTAAATATTACATAGTTTACCGCTTAAATATGCACATAAGCTGTTAATCACGTCTGCGGCTGACGACATAAATAAAATAAGGAAATGTTTTGTGCATATATTTTAAACTACGAAGATGCGGGAGTCAATTCCCTGGATTCAATGAACCTTAAGTGGTGTATCCTTATACATTCTTGCAATCATAAAAGGATGAATATGATGAAATATGAATAAATACTTCACACAAAGAAGAAGAGAATTCTATGTGTTACTCGTTGACGTGGTAATTTAACAAAAATTTTAATTGAATCTTTACCTTTTTTATTTCATATTGGAAAATGATCACATCAAATACAATTAAATAGAATTTATGTAACTTTAATTAATCAGCAATCAATAAAATATAAGAAAAAAATAAAATTGTATCCCCCTCTATAAACTTTTATTGAACATACGATATTAAGTGCTGTCGACACAGTAGTCTAGCTATAGCCACAAATAGTAACCTCGTCAAGTCCGAGGTTAAAGTCCTTTGGCTTTGGAAACGACGACGACGACGAAGACGACGACGCGGTGCCCGGGCAGGTAACTTCCGGTCGCAGATTTACCGTTAGATTCACTCTTCATAGGCTATTCTAAGGCTATGTTCTTATCCTTGTCTGTACGAGTCAAGTCGTTTCAAAGAAACGAAGAACGAAGCATAGTCAGCCGACGATGGCTTCGACTACGAACGCCAAAAACATCAAACCGCAATTATAATTGGCCGTGTGTCTACGTGCTCGAAATGTTGTTAAACCTTTTCCGGTTTTCTTTGATTCCTCTTCCTGTCGTTTCCTACAATTGAATAGTACCGTATATTTTTTGGTGAACGAAATAGATCTCGTGACTTACCGTAAACTTGATTTCTGGATCGTTTAAACGAAATACTTCATAACACGCTTCATTTCCCACCAATTGTCACTAGCTGATGAGACTGTATAGAAGATATAGCGGTTTATTCTCGACGACAATGCTATCAGTATCTACCTGATCTACGAGATAATTTTTTTATTTTTCTATAATCCCAAAAAAAAATATTTACGAAACAGGATCAATAGTTCCGATTCAATATTAACCAGGCGTGAAAAATGAAAATTAATTGAATTTAATAATCAATTTGCTATACCCCATAAATACGCTATAATTAGTAACATGTAATTATTACTTCACTCGTGAGCTCGTTTAACATCCAATGGCTTCTTCTTCGTGTACAGTTAAAGCAACAAATTGATGTGTTCCATGTTGTACAACAACATTCTTAATAGTCGAACAAAAAAATGTAGCCACAAGACAAGGTAACTAAAAAGGATTAATGCTCGTTCGCTGACAGTTAAAACAGTGACTTAACTGTCGACGGACGTTAACGTTCCGTCAAGTTCAACGAGTCTTCTTGATACCGGAAATTTACCAGCGGACAATAATCCGATCCGTACCGTAGCAGCTCGATCGAAGCTAGAAGATTGGTAGTTGTTATTCCTCAAGTACAGCTAACTTAATCGAATGATAACAGAGAAGAGTCCCGACGACGATCAGCAACGTTTGTAACGATTTCAGGAAAACCATTTACTTACTTCAAAAGGAAGTAGTTTACAAGTATAAAAAGATGGTTGGATGAGTACGCTAAAAATTTGGGGAGAAAATTAAAAGATTTCAGAAAATAATTATTATATGAATACATGAAAAAAGAGATTTCATTTTAGGAGATTTTGAGAAAATCCTGGTAAGAACTAAACTCTTCCTGTAGTACATAAATAAGTTCATCAAATAACGAAGGTAACTATAAATTTGGGAAAATATTTCTTTCGTTTCAAAGTTAATCATGTTGCCCACAAAATTTTGTCCATATTTCACATTATCAAAAGCTTAAATGTGAATTTTACTTACCGTTGATACACTTTTCAAAGAGTTTCAAAAGTATCGTAAAGAAGCTAGGGGAAAGTACACCTAGTGCGAGGTGAGCCCCTCCATTTCGGCCAAACAAGTAGCGAACCATATTGTACTCGCATGGAGAGCTCCCACGGACAAGGACCACATCAGACGTATTAAGAGGGAGCTGACAGAGATTAAGGCTATCTACCAAAAAAAGATTCGACTTCTCGAAACGCTTTATACATTATAAAGTCTCCAGTGCACTCTAACAGATGAAAATAGGGAAAGCCCCGGGTTACGACGGCATTCATAATGAGTTCCTGGTTATGTGCTGCCGGTTTACCAGGAATTGGCTAATTGTATTTTATATTGATATTCTGAAAAATGGCTGGATACCAAGGGAATTTAAGACGACAAAGATCATCTTCATCCTGATGTCCGGGATCGGCAGATCTGCCTGGTAGCTATCACCCTAGCAAATCTTTCAAACTCCTAGAACGTCTCATTCCAAACCAAATTATTGATAAGATTACTGAACGTATCACGCAGCTGTGTAGATCAGGTTTAAACCTTACAACTTATTCAGGCTGGCTTTCAGAGCTAGAGAAGACTGTCGTTGAATAACAGTCGAAGATCCTAAGTCTGAAGAATAACATGCTCAGTGGCAGGTTCTTCCAGGTCATTTTGGGGCAAAAGCAAAGCCACACAAAATTATTAAATAACCTAAGGATCCTTGCACAAACTTTTTTCAATCTATACATTGCCTACATACTGGGTACTACTAACATAAAATTATCATACGCAGCTAGGGAGGATGAGGTAACTCTGACCAACAATCTGATTGTAATGGGCGAGTATTATAGAAAATAGAGATTGATGCCTAATCTAAACAAAACAGTAGCTTGGTGGTTGCCTTCTAGACCACAACCCAACTCCAAAGTACCTGGGTGTGACCTTGGACAGAACCCTCACATATCGCTCATACCTGAAAAAACAACAGTTAAAATACGCACAAGAAACAATATCGTTCAGAAATTATGTGACACAACGTGGGGATCACTAGGAACACTGTGGTGGTTGGTCATCCGCCGAAGTGAGCCGACACCCAAACATATCTTGCAAACCAGTTGCTTTTAATTTGCAGCGCCGCTTCTGCAAAACTGCTTATAGGATTCGAACAAGGCATGGCTTATGCAGATACGCACTCCATAAATAGAACAAAGCCCTGAACCCCATATGTGACAGAGGTTGGGATAACGAGACTGTTGAATATATTGTCATAATTTGACATTAAATTTACACTCCTATTACACTTTAAAAAATCGTCCAAAAATCCTAAGTAGGATTCCAAGAGTTATACATATTGAGCTGGTAGCATTTTATTTAGCTTATGAAGTAATGCTTGGTGACAAAAATCTTATCAAACGCCTTAGCTACATTAAAGAAAATCGCTGTGCAGTATTACTTGATTTCTACGGTTTTCTCGATTTGATCTCCAGTTCTGTAAACGTGAAAGTTGACTACGAAATTCAAATAGGTAGTCCAGAATCAGTGGTCTGAGTGATGTCTGAGTCTAATTGCGGCGTTACAAATGTACATTACAATCACGATACCTTTTCGAGAGACTTGTTTGAATACTTCGCCTGTGATGAGATCCTATCAAAGAATCTTCTTCAAATTCAAGTTGGTGTGCATTTTGTTTTTACCATTTCACGTGGTACTACTGGTAAGTTAGTGCTCACATCGTTATGTTGATGGTCGCTGAAAGATACAAAATTGTCGAAACTTTACATAGCAAGATGACACGTCATTTTATGAACTGTTGAAAATGATTACACCTTAAATTACTAAAAATAACACCGTGATGAGAGCAGCTCCAATACATAACTTAAACCAACATTTTCAAAGTCGCTTTATGGTTTATTGCATTTCTTTTTTCATTCTAACACGTGCATCTATGTGCTGTAATTATCTGCATCATTATAGTGAAGATATTTTACTTTCGTGTGATAGATAAACTTATGATTTAATTCGGATGAATTCAATAATCGTTATAAATTTTCAAATTGTTTTTTAGCAATTGATGTTAAGCACGTGTCAATTAAGAAACCACCAAATACAGTCTCACACTTTTACTATTACAAAAAAAATTAGATGATGGTGGAGGAAAAAGACTAATTGCGTGGCAATAGCGAGAAGTATTTACCATTTGTATTTGTTGCAGATACTACATGTAGAGAGATACTTAGGTATTGACAGAAAATTTCTTGAAATCTTGTAGCATTTGGAAAAACAGTATCAAATAAATTACTCCAAATCCCAAAACCCATGGCTTGAGAAGAAATTACTATTTGTTTTTATTGGAGATGACGCTTTCAATCGACAGAACGTTTTGTGAAACCTTATAGCATTCGGAAAAGCAGTATCAGATAAATTACCGTATTTTCTCAAATCTAATCCGCATCGTTTTTACAAATTTTGTTCTCTAAAATCAAATGGGGATTACAATCGGGTGTAGATTAGATTCACAGTGGTATAGATGAAAGTTGGAAAAAGTAAAATGAAATACCTAAATGAAATCAGATTCTAAAAATAAAACTTTATTAAGGGTTTTATAACAATATTTACATTTTTAAGGATCATTTTCTTCTCATATTACATCATTCGGATCCGTTCAAAAGATTGGTCTTATAACACTTCTTAAACGATGTTATAACAATAATCTCAGGGATCACTTTCCATGGCGCCGACAACCTTTGAACAAGTTCAGAAGTAGAAGCCCGTTTAATTTGTCCCGTTTTGGTTAATTCTCGAACAGGAGCTGCAATCCATTTGAAATACTGTTTTCTCGTGTTATCTTAAAAGGGTTTATTAATAGATATATCCATAAGTAGTATGGATGTCATTGCACCAGGTATTACGACAAGTTCCGTGTGTAATTCTTTATGGCGATTTTTTACAGATTTAGTGAAATGTCCCATGAATTAATCAAGAACAATTACTCACGGTTTACTTAATAATCCTCCTGGCCTAAGACTCCATATTTGAGATAACGTTACGTCATCCATCCTTTTTGTTGCGCCCTAATATGACGTCTTTCGGGAAATACTCTGATTTCAGAATGGTTTTTCTTTTCAATATTAATAATGGCGATAATTTTACCCTATCACCGATTGCTGCTACAATCACTGATCCTAAATTCCCTCACATCTCTTCTTCCTAGTGTGTAATTGGGGGGCATATCTGGATACATTGCCGTTTCATTGCTAAATTGTTGTTATTCGCCTTAACAATAGCCCCATTCGGCGCATGAACCGCACAGTCCAACCTTTGCTAGCTTTACAGATTTTTGTTCATATTCAACGAATTTGTTGTTTTTATTGCTTCTTCACGACGTAAATCGTATCTTACATACAATCCCTCCTTTTGTCTTTCTTAAAAGAACCGGGAAACAGCTTCGTCATTTTCATGAAGTCGTCCCTTCTTTGGTTTGACAAATTTTGTGCGAGATACCTCATAATGTACAATAGCTGCCTTGTGTTCGTACCACAGCCGAACGTTAGTCTCATCAAGGCCAAAAATGGCACCAGCTTTCCGATTCCCTTCTTTCTCCACCAACTTAATAACATCTCGTTTAAATTTTGTTGTGTAAAAGAATCTATTCGATTTTTGCAATTACTGCTGGTACTGCAGTCTCGCCCCATCTATCGCAAAAAGCTCGATGGGAGTTGGAGTTGATAAGCTTTGATGCTGTTTTAAAAGTTAACGGTACAAACGGTTCAGGGGAAACCGGTGACTTCTTAGCCACCCGTTTCGCCAGCTAGAGTGTTCCTTATTTACGGTATGTCCTTTCCGCCACTTTATCGTGACGTTGCTATAAACATTAGCCTCCTCAAGTGATTGCCGACAGGACTTCACTAACGATGATGTAGTTCAATGCCCACTAAGCGATAGCATAGCCTGTCTGTTACCAGTGCAGATTACAACGTTTCTCCCAAACTTTTTTGGATATTTATAGCAGCTATTTCGGCCTAGCAAAATGGAAAGATGCAGCTGGAGAAGATTTCCGCTCCGGAGCCTCCAGCCTCCTTTGATCCATCAGTGTAGATGGTCAGGGTTTTACCAGTACTAAAGTTACTCTGGAGTATCGCCTCAATGCCAAAGTGTGGCCTGTTTAAGAAAGTAAGCGTGATGTAGTCTGTACGAGCTTCAAGGAAAGGTTGTTTACGAACAGCCTCACTCCAGAGTTCGCTCCAGACTATTCCCATTTTTACAACCTGCTTATTATCCACTGATCGCAATCGAACCAACCCCATCGAGGCCACCTCCCTGATAAAAATATCTAGGGGTAGCACGTTCATCATAGTCTCCATCGCGATCGTAGATCTTATGGCGCCCGTAATTAACAGGCAGACCAGTCGTTGCAGCAATCTAGCCTTATATGTATGTTTTAATGCTCAGCATCAAACTA